TACAAAATATATACAGTATATATATACTGTATATACATATTTATATTGACATGATTTACATATCGCATATGAATAATACATTTTTCACACTCATTTCATAACCAAATACTGACACAAATGTTAATGCTAAAATATTATTAATTTAAAATAGTCGAAATATGATTTAAATATTTGAATGAGTTATTAGAATAGCTTGAACTTACCCGTGGCTTTGTAATAAGAGCATAATCTTGCAACCATATGAGGATCAGGTGTTGTTTCGTCTCGTTTCTTTGTCAGTTTGAGGAAAATTAATCAGTAAAGTTATCGGTTTTTACTTAAAATTATAGATTTAAAATAAATATATTTCAAAAATAGCATTTGGCGTCATTTAATATTAATCTCATTAATGGTCAACCGCTGGGTTGCTTTCTAATATCATTACGATAAAGAATTACATCACATCTCATAAACAACCAATTATATATTATAAAATAAATAACTCATTTTTAACTACGTTACAGTTTTCCTACAATATATCTTTTGAAGATATATTAATTGAGTAATTGAGATTCTTATACCACATGCTTAATAAAACAAATAATTATATTATTTAGTATGAAGTATTGTGTCATTTAGTAAATATTAAATTAAATGTAGGAACCTAAAAGGTTCATGGCTCATTGTCTATACTTTGGAAAATTCAAAACCTAGAATAAATTAATTAAAAATTGAAATCACAATTACACGAATTATATACGAATGAACAATTTAGTTTGCTTTATTGCTAGTATGCCATATTATGGCATTGAGTTCGAAAAAAATATTTAATTCTTGTTATTGATATTGTATGGTATTTATTTATAACAATCTTTTTTTTTAATAAAAATAGAAAAGAGTTAGTACGTCCATAAAAAAGATATGTATATTATCAAAAAAGTTGATGAATAGTGTTTAAAGACAGTTAGCACGAACTACCAATTAATTAAGCGAATGCTTTGTTGAACCGGTTTTCTCTAAAAAATTCACTAATTCATATACACAATCTTATTGCCCTCAGAACAAGTTGTCTAGACTCCTGATTTAAAAGTCAAGGTTTTTTATAAACTATAAAATGGTTTGCCTACAGCTAAAAAAAAGATCAAACTATTAATTTTGTGAATTATATTTTAAAACTGGTGGAAAGAATATACATGACAAATGATATAATTAAATATATAAAGAACACGGGGCTAATAATTTTATTAACTTCCCGTAGGGCAAGTTATAGTAATCGCAAAAAAATCGAAAATGAAAATTTTTATATATCTTTACGTTTCAAAGGTTTCTGAACATTTTGGCATACCTAAGAAAAAATGGATGTATGTGTGTGTGTGTGTGTGTGTGTGTATGTATGTATGTATGTATGTATGTATGTATGTATGTATGTATGTGCGTGTGTGTATGTATGTGCGGATACAAATTTTCGTCGACGATTTCGGGAACACGGATCAACCGATTTGAATAATTCAAAAAACATTCGATTCGTATTGATAAGGAGACGTGCTGATTAGTTTTTGGCGAAGGCAGGTCTAGCCGTTCCGAAGATACGGGGCAAAAAGTGCCGAAAACGGTAACTCAGTTTTTAAGAGAACGGAGCGTCCGATTTGAATAATTCAAAAAACATTTCACTTGTATTGACAAGGTGAAGAATCGATTTCATGAAGGTAGGTCTAGCGGTTTCGGAGATATGGAGGAAAAAGTAAAAAAATGAGCCATTTGGTGGTCAAAAATGATCATTAGACATATGCACATCAAATTATCAGATATTTTATAGAGATTTTAACAATAAGTATACATTTTGTTAACATTTCTATGGGTTCCGTACCAATGCTTATGCGTTAGACAGCGACGCGGCGCTTACGCGCTTTATATTTTGTCCCTATGCAGTTAAAGCAGTACGATTGCTTTCAAAAAAATTTCAGATCTTCTACAATATGTCAAAATACAGAAAAAAAAAATTTTTTTCAAAAAAAAAAATGTTTTTTTAAAAAAAAATTTTTTTTTTCAAAGAAAAGTTATTTTTTGTCCAATTTATAGTTTCTCAAAAATCTTATTCTTTCAAAGTAATTTTTTTTCAAAAATGTTAATTGTTTTTAAAAAAATAATAATTTTTGGTACGGGAAGTTCCAGCAATTTGCCTTAAGGCACGATGCCTTAATTGCCTTAAGACAGAATTCCACTTACAGCTAGTTTTCTTTCCTCATTAATTTCGATTTTGTTTTGCATTTCAATCGATATAATAAACATGGTGATACATTTCTTCTTAATTAACATATTCAGCTAATAGAAATGTTCAGATAAACTGTTACTTTTTGTTTAATTAGAAATTAATCGAATTGTCATATTATTTAGCTTTACAATATGTACTTTATTTCTTATGTTGTAAAAGTAAACTAACGAACTATATAATATTAAAACGTATTATAATGTAGAAATAAGAAATTTCTACATTATATGAAACAAAATTTTAACACATTCACTGTTGCGCACGCATATGTTGCGTGAGACCATTGACAATAACCAGGCGAAGGACGTAAAAGGTGCGTTCGCCTTCCTTGCACTTTAGAGTACTATTTTTAATATAATAGAGTGTTTAAACTGAAATTTTGCACTGCAATTACTTCAAACAGAAATGGTTCAATTTATCTTATTTTGGTCCATTTTTTTAAATTTCTAGGTAACATGTCCAGAAATGGTTTTATTTCGCATAGGTGGAAGTATGGGCATTACCAGGTTATCATGTTTTAGCTTGATAAATTAGCAAAATATTTAAAACCTCTAAATATTATACAATTTTAGTAATTCATATTTAAAATTTGATTCATAAAATCTCAGCAGTTTTTCAACAAATTAATTTTAATATAAACATCAATTTGCGTAGAACAGTTCAGAGTCATAGTATTTAACACGCAAGAAATTTCATAGATTTCGTCAAGCATGACGCCCAAAGTTTTTTGGCTAGTTTATTCGGAATAAAGACACGATATATAAATAAAATATTTAAGTTTGTTTTGACACTAAGAGTAAATAGATATGAATATGAACATTTCAAAATAGAAGAAACAAGGAAATACCGAAATATTTAAACGTAGGCCATTTGCAGAATTGCTGTGGGATACCCGAAGAAAACTGACCTTCTGAATATGTGTTATATTGACTAGGATTGAACGAAACGAATTGACACAAATCTTGTATTATGATCAGATTTTTGTTTTTTTTGTAATTCTTATTAAAATTGAAGATCATGTTGTAGATTATATATCAATAAGAACTACGTTATTCCATAGTCTGTCATTATGATTTATTATTTCGAATGATAATTTTAATTCGAGTAGATAAATTTGTGTAAAATAAACGAAGAGAAATACGTCTTTCGAGTTTTCAATTGGAAATTTTTGACAAATTTTTTGTGCAAATAAAAATTTTAACTTTGCAACAAAAATGTCGAACAATATATATATATATATATATATATATATATATATATATATAATGCAAAATTTCATAATACTATTATGTTATTATTAATAAGATAGACTATCGTTCTTGTCACTATCTATTTCACATTAATTGTCAATGTTATAACAAAAGCTGGTATTAGTTACAAATATTAATATTAAATTATCAAATTGTTATCGAATATTAATTATTATAGCATTGCTTTAAACATTAACATCACATTAATTAATTAATAATTTTTTCTATAATGAAAACTAAAACGTTCCATTTCTTCAGTTTAGCAAGGAAAGACAATTTGAATATGCTTTAATTTAAATTAATTAGATATAAATAGTTTGAATAATTTATTATGTTTGATAAGCATGTACAAACTGATTAATTTAAAAAATACGTTATTCATTTTTGTAAAAAAGAATTATTTATTTACATTTAAAATGCCAATGACGCACAGGCATATATTGAAATAAACGAGTTTTTTTGTGTTTAACTTAATTTTTTATTATTATTATATGCAACGGCCCTTGATCTTCATTCGTTCACTCATTGTTAGGGTTATTGAACAAAAAGTCCAAACCGGATTTTAAGTGGCCGGAATTCGGCAAAATTTGTCACTAACTGGTATTTCATTTCTGCGAAATGGATTCGGGATCAGAGCTGAATCTATTATTGACAAGGTACACAATTTCAAGTGCTTTTGCTAAAAAATACAAATGAATTTGTTTTTTATTTGGAAATTCCTTTAATATATTATATACATAAACGATAATTAAAATTTCGAGACTTTAATAAATTTGACGAAATTCTATAACGTCAGAGCAAGTAAGCGCTAAAGACACATTTATAAAGCGAAATTTATTCTAGCTTGTTTTAAAATTTAATTACGAATTACCTATTGAACTGATTGAAAATTTCGTATAAATTGAGAATTCCTAAAATTTAAAAATCAAAAAAAATAATTTTTTTTGAGAATGCTAAAAATTAAATTTTCGACTGGTTTGCTCGACTGATTTGCTCGACTGATTTTAACACAATATAAGCTAGCGTGAGGTACAACTGATCTTTATAAATAAATTTTGTCATTTAAAAGTAATAAGTTGGGAAAATATAAAATTCAATATTTAACTTTCAACTACAAACATTTGGATTATGTAAAATATATTTGGCAAGCGCAGGAAAAGTGCAATATTTTCAAGTATTATTAACATAGAAAGGGCTCGTCCAGTTATCACAAATATAGGTGTGGAAACATTGGAACACTGGAAAAACTTAAGCTAGTGCACGCTCTGCCGGTATAAGAATATTATTTCATTTTATATGATGAGATAGGGAGTTGAAAATTGGTATATTGTATTTTCTGGAAAAGACCTACAAAATGGCATCAAAATCATTTGAATACCAGGGTGGGGCCAATTCTGTATGGAAACACGCCCGTACTCTTTGTTACGGAAGTTAATAAATAAGCTTAGAACTTTCGATTTTAGTATAACTTTTATCATGCATGTTTTTTCATATATTTTCAGTTTCGTTATTCGAGTACACTTGAACGATTCATATCAATTCTCGGTGTGATATCAGGCCTTTTGGCGAGTTGCTCTCTACCTCTGAATGTTATTATTTATGGAGAGTTCACAGCTTTGTTAGTGGAGCGCACCACGCACGCGAACTCAACTCCGACGATGATATTAGAACTGTTTGGGGGAGGAAAAATTATGTGAGTATAAATGATCAAGTTAAACTGGTATTATATTATTCTGCCAATACTTTAAGATTTTTAACACTAAACCTATTAGACAATACTTGCAAGTATTGGCTAACTGGCTATACATGTAAAGCTATTCCATCAACGCGCGGCCAAATTGAACGGACAGTTTGGTCACTGTTTTTTTTTTGTATAGTAATGAGTAAATAAAATATTATATGCATATTCTAAGAACTTGTCCTATAGCTTGTTACAATAGAGAATTATAATATTTAAAAATATATTGTTTTATAAAAAGTTTGCAAAGGGTCAATTTAAAAGGTCTTTGTTAAATTTAGTATTAAATCATTATTTCCAAAGTAAATTCTCTTCATATAATCAAACAACCACTTTAACACTACATAGCTCTGATTATATGCAAATTAAGTAAACAAAAATGTGTTAATGATTTTTGCTGTAAACGCATTCCTGCTGAAGGTGTAAACAGTATAAGTAATGATGCCATTACTATATTCTAAATACCAAAAATTTCGTTTTTGTTGGGTAATTATTCATAGCTTGTTGTTTGTTTCTCAAAGCAATATGCGGCCAAGTATTTATAATTTAAACAAAATAATGTATTATTAAATTTACTATGTTTTGGCAAATTTGAATAATCATTATTTTTTTGTTAGAGAAAATGCAACTGATGAAGACTACATGGATGCCTTGTATGACGACTCTGTGGCGTTTGGAGTTGGATGTACAGTGATAACACTATTTCAATTTATTACCTGTCTCATCAGTGTGGATTTACTTAATTTTTCAGCTTTAAGACTGGTAAGTAACTTAGCTGATTAAATAATAATATCACACAATCCAATCCATGATTATAAGATGTAAAATTTAAGATGATTAAATTAATAATATCAAAGTATAATAATAAGCACAGCGTTATTGATACATTTGTTATTTTTTAGGATATTTTTTTCAATTTGAGCGAAGTGCAGTGGGTGCTAAGACTTAATTCTGTGACTCGATAATAGAAAATTTTATAATACTTAACTTAGTAATAATAATAATTAATCTTTAATATTATCGTTTGCAAATTAAAGCTACAATAATTAGGTAACATATACTACGAAAAATTGCAACGTTTTGGATATCACCATGAAATGGTGCAAAGCATCGTTTGGATACCGTCAAGTAATTGGCCATTCATTGAAAATGCACTAAAATTTAAATAATAATTTATTTGTTCGAAGTTTGTTATTGAAGTCTTTGTCTTGTATTTAGATTTGAATTAATAAAGTGAATAAATAATATTAATTATTCAATAATAATTTCTTTTAAATTTAGAATTTATAATTATTTAATCATTATAGCAATTAATTGTTATACTTTGCAGATTTCAAGAATTAGAAAATTATTACTACAAGCAGTTTTAAGACAGGACATGGCTTGGTTCGATACAAACACAAATAATAATTTTGCGGTCCGCATTACAGAGTAAGTACCACTTTATTTAATTATTATTAATGTCGTAAAAACCCACAAAAATAGCTTTATCATAAGTGCCTCTCGATTTAACATAATTATAATCACAGATATATAATGCTATTATGACTACACTAGTATTAGGTTGTCAAATATCTCCCTTCCGCTTTTTTGCTCTTGGTTTATAATACAAAAAGGCGGAAGGGAGATATTTGACAACCTTATATATTGTTTGTTTTCCAAAACACACACACCAAATATATATATATATATATATATATGTATATATATAATATTTGGCTTTTTGTGATGATGAGGCATGGTTTTTGTCGCATATATTGTAGGCTCTCGCTAATCCGACACTATTAAAAACCGGAGGGTGCCGGATTACTGAATTATAGTGAAAAAGTCATAATTTTTATCGTATGATATATATCGTATGATAATAGTAAATGACGTTAAAATTTAAAAAAAAATTACAAAAAGTTTGGTCGCAAGGGTGTCGGATTACTGGAGGTGTCAGTCTATCGGAGTATCGGATTAGTATGCTATATCTTTTGTTATTGAACTGAAATTTAACAAAAATAGTTTTCATTTTTTCATAAATTTTATAAATATTAATAGGAATCATTGAAACTTAAGCTCATTCAATGCATTATTGAATTTTATAAAATAGTTATTCACTTTTTTTAAATCTGTGCTGCTCTTTTTTGAGGAAACATTTTGAGTTCAACAGCGAAACTAGCATTCACAATTATTTTACCATCTTAGATTAATTGAATTGTCGAGAAAAGATTTAAAGAAAGAATTAATTAATCCGATATACGGGTAAAAAACGGGTAAAGTAAATTAATCAATTTTATTATTTCTGTTTCTATATATTAATTTTGGTATATATTTCAGAGATTTAGACAAATTGAGAGATGGTGTAGGTGAAAAAATAGGAATCTTCACTTACCTCGTGATGTCCTTCGTGTTTTCAGTTGTTGTGTCGTTTGCTTATGGCTGGAAACTCACTCTGGTAGTTCTTAGTTTCGCACCAATCATTATTGTTACAACTGTTCTAGTAGCAAAGGTTAGTAATTCGAATAGCAATAATTTCTAATAGATATTAAAGAAAATTGGTTTTTGATAACCATCATTCACGAATATTATAACTCATGGTAACCCTTTCGCTACAAGAGTGCTTTTCGAAGGGGTGTCGATGCTGAATGGGCACAGCGATATATTTTAAGATTTTTTTTTATCATCATCAATAGAAATGTGTTAAAAAATTCAAAATTTGCCTTCTAATAAACTATAAATTATAGTACATATTACCAATAGTTTAACTCATAGTGATTAATCTTGAAACAAAGTCCGACTTACAATATGTCGTCCATGGACGACATCTATAACGAAAGGGTTAAATTTATTTATAACTTTGCAATGTATTATGAGAATAATCTTTTAATGTGGTAATGTTGAATAACTTGAACAATTTTCAATAATTTTTGATAAACTTTTTTTATTGTCAAATTGTTAAGAAAAATTGTGAGGTTTTAAATTTTATAATGAAAAAAAGTTTATCAAAATTCAGTGAAAATTGTTCAAGTTATTCAACATTTCCAATTTCCATTGACCACATATGGCGCATTCTGTATACTCGCGGATTTACATTATATCTTTTTTACAGACTAATTTTTTATATGCTACTGTTCTGTTTTTACAATGAATCTCAAATAGTAAATGCGTAGTCATGTTCTAAATTTTTAATAGAAGAAAAACACGCTATGTTTATTTTTCATACAGACTAAAGAATAACGTTGATATATCATCTGTCATCTGTCCATTTTTTTATTGAACAAAGGATTCGCCCAATCACTTGGGCATTGTGATTAATACTTTGATTGAATGAATAATAACATAAATATTTATTTAAGTTTTTGCTTTAATAAATTGTTAATTAATACAATAATTCCGTAGATTCAGAGCAACCTGACATCTAAAGAGCTTCAAGCATATTCATTAGCTGGAAACGTAGCTGAAGAAGTTTTAAGTTCAATTCGTACTGTGATAGCTTTTGGCGGAGAAAGCAAAGAAATAGAAAGGTAAAAAATATTAAGATCATTATTATTTTCTTATATTTCATGCTTTTTATTGGTTTATTATTACTATTTCTTAAGAAAACAAGAAAATATTAAATTTATAATAATATTAAACTAGTTGGTATTGGTATTTTGCCTTGGGGCAAGTTACATGAACTTCCCGATATGTGTAAATAATCGACTTAATCAATAAAAATATAAATTAATTTATGCGTGATTAAATGTATTCCGAGCGGATTTATTACACATAATTGACAACGAACGAACACGTTAACTCGGAGTATTTTCTAAAAGCAAATTTTCAAAAATCAACAATTTTTATAATTGAACAAATTTCCGTAGGACTTTAATGGTTTTAGTATGTTCATTAGGACCAAGTACTCTATCGTTATACCAAGTAAATCATCTAACTTTAATTTTAACAAACGTCAAAAAAACTACTTTATTTTCTCAAACTTTGATTAATTTTTAAAATTAAACTACTTTTCAGTAAGTTCTATAAGACCGTGATATATATCGCCAAAAAAAATTCCATAAAAATCGACTTAAATTTTTTTTCAACAGTTAATTACAAGAAAACGGCTCGGTAGATTTTCACCTAAAACTAATCAATATCATTCTCAACTAATAACTTTCGAACAGTTTTTGATTTTTTAAAATCGATTCGGCAGTATGAGCTTAAATGTGGACGAAAAGTTTAACACATTTTTCTAAATTCGTCGCGGAAAACTGAGAAACTATAATCCCCATCGACATATATCAAATGGCTTTTAAATTTCTGAAATCGGTTCAGGCGTTTTTGAGCAAACGTCGATGAATAGTGTAATTTTTACAAATGCCAAAAAAACGATACTAATTTTTGCGAACTTTGAATAATTTTCAAAATTAAACGGCTTGTCGTGTGGCCGTAATATTTTAGTAGTATATGGTATCTACAGTCATTTTCAACGTCAAATTTTTTTAACACTTTATTACAAGAAAACGGCCCGGCCGATCTTTACCAAAAACTAATCAGCACGATTCCCAACCATCTTTCGAAAAGTTTTTGAATTTTTAAAATCGATTCAAAATTACGGAGAAAAACGTGGACGAATTTTTTTCACATTTTTGCGATTTACAAAGTAACGGCTTGGCTGATCGTCGCTCATCGAGATACATGGAATGGCTTTTACATTTTTGAAATTGGTCTAGCCGTTTTTGAGAAAACGTTCGTTTCAGAATGGCTTGAAACGTCGGAAAAACATAAAACTAGCGAATCGGATTTTTTGATGAAAACATAAACTTCTTCGGGAAGTTAATTAACTTTAATTATATTAATAGATGTGAACTTAATTGTTGGCAAATGAGAATAAACATGAAAATAGAAGAATAAAGATTTCGTATCAAACAAATAGTTTCACTTACATTTCCAATCCTAAATTATATAAAATGATAATATTTTTTTTTCGTGAATGCAATTGCAAACCAACTGTATATTATTACGGAAATGAAAATGAAACTGTTAGTTTAAGCCCAGATTGGTCTTATCAAATATATATAATTATATAACGGTTAATAGGACAAAAAAATACCAATGGATGTGAAGGTTATGCTTTGTACTGTTGTTTAAACGCTTTAAAAATGAGACCAGGAAGTCAAATGTTTATCTTTTGCTTCATTAAAATACATTTTAGAGATTACATAACAAGTTTATACATCATTATTAAAAAATAGAGCATTTTTACAATATTGTTTAATAAATTTATTGTGTGTTTTCAAAAAATAATTCCATATATAGATACGCCAGTAAATTGGGGCCGGCCAATAAATTATGTTCAAGAAAAGGTTTGTTCAGCGGTTTGGGCGGTGGAGTTATGTGGTTCATAAATTATGCAAGTTATGCACTGGGATTTTGGTATGGTGTCACCTTGATTTTGGAAGAAGATGACTACAGTCCAGTTGTGCTAATTATAGTAAGTCTCTATAAAAATATAATTAATAATTATAAATAATATAAATTAGAAAAGTGTTTAAATATTTAGTAGCATAAATCAATTAAATTTAAACAAAAATTAATATATTTAAAAAAAACTAATCATTGAAGAGTGCAGTTGTTATTGCGCATCATTCAAAATATATTGCATGATCACCATATATGATTTATATAGAAAAGTTTTGTATTTTATAGTAATTATATGATTTAAAAATTATGTGACTGACCTATTTATTATTTATCTTAAATATAAAACTTTGTGTAAGATTTAATTAATTGAATCCTAATACTGGCTAACCATCGTTGCCCATCTTTGTAATTTTAAATAAGACTTTCAATAATATAATTTTTATGCTATAACGCTAACCCATTATTTTAAAGCAATTTTTGTTTCAAAAATGTATCTCACAATGAAATATGATGATTTGATAATTATGATACTAAGAATATGATCTTCATTATATTAATTCTTAGGTGTTCTTTGGTGTGATAGCAGGCGCCCAAAACATGGGTCTAACATCTCCTTATATCGAGTCATTTGCAGCAGCACGTGGTTCCGCAAAGTCCGTTTTTCGAATACTAGAAAGAGTTCCACAAATTGATTCTCTTCATGGTGGAGGTTACATCCCCAAAGCGGTTGTTGGAGATGTCGAATTTCGTGATGTTAGATTTAGATACCCCTCAAGACCAGGCGTCGAGGTAATATATATATATTGTTATTATGAAGCCATTGAAAATTTTATCAAACTACATTAATAACTAACTGTTAAATTATTTATAATGAATCAGCAATATTTTCTATTGCCGTTTGGAATATTTTTATAGCGATACAAGTTCAAATAAATGAAAAAAATCGCAATTGTGTGGGACTGAATAAAATAACTGATGATTTTTTTGAATAATGTCGAATGATCTTTGAGCTAGTCATGAAATATTTTCGTATTATTTATAAAAAATATATTTTATAAATTATAAATATTATTAATTAATTTATTTATTTGATTAAAAATTATGTTATGCAATTATATTATTAGTTTTTAACTCTCTTTCGCTCCGCCCAGTACCATCTCATAAATATATTTTCATCATAAATGATCATCAAATTAATATTATATTTGTTAAATATTTCAGGTTTTGAAAGGAATAAACCTGCAAATTAAATCTGGAGAAACTGTTGCATTGGTTGGCGCATCTGGTTGTGGAAAGTCTTCTCTACTCCAATTACTCCAAAGATTGTATGATCCCATTGCAGTTGGGAGTGTTCTTCTTGATGGCAATAACATTAGACAACTTAACATATCTTGGTTAAGATCCCAGGTACATATCTTATTAAATAAACAAAACAAAAAGTGGTACAAAATGATACACTTGCGCCTATTTTTTAACATCTCGGCCAAAGAATAGATAGGTTGAGAATGGGTATAGGATTTATTAGAAAGACGTTTCTATAATAATGCTCTTATTCTTTTTCCTATATCTGTTAATTTAAATCTCAATAAATTAATTCATCTTCATTTTTTACTTCAGATAGCTGTTGTTGGACAGGAACCAGTTTTATTTGCAGCTACAATTAAAGAAAACATAAAATATGGTTGCGAAACAGCATCTGATGAAAAGATCCAAGAAGCAGCTAAACAAGCTTGTGCTCATGACTTTATCATGAGACTCCCAGAGGTAAGGTCATTTAATAAATATTTCAAATTTTATTAATTAAGAAATACAAATAATTACTTAATTATCAATAAAGGCGAATTTAAATTTTTTGTCGCTACTTGGAAAAAAGCTAATATTATCGCGGAATAATTTGAATGGAGGAAGTGCCTAATTAAATTTTACTGATTTCCAGGGTTATAATACTGTAGTAGGTGAACGGGGCTCCCAACTCTCAGGAGGTCAAAAACAAAGGATTGCAATAGCGCGAGCTTTAGTCAGTGATCCAAAAATTCTTTTATTGGACGAAGCAACTTCAGCACTGGATGCAAAAGCGGAAGCCACTGTTCAAAGAGCTTTAGACGCAGCAAGCAAAGGACGAACTACTCTTGTTGTTTCTCACAGGTGAATAAATATTAGAAGTACACTATAATAATTTTAGAATCATACAATCATACATGATTTATTGTTATTGATTAAAATATGCTTTTTGGTTCATAAAGATACGTTCATAAGTGTAAATATGAAATTGCGGTCTCGTGTTATAAATATAATGATTTTGAGATTACACATCGTTTTCAATTTTTTTTTTCATATTTATTAAATGCTTTAATTGATTTTTTTGCTGATAAAAGCAATTCTGATTGTTTGTTTTCACTCAAGGCTTTTAAAAATCGTACCATACTGTTTCAGCTTGATCACTATATTCTTTTTAATGAATTTGAAAGAACTTGTAGGGTAAGTTATGGTATTGGGCCGAAAATGTAAATTTTTGCATATCTTCACGTTTGTTGAAGGTTTCTGAACAATTGGCATACCTCAGAATAAATGGATGTGTGTGTGTTTTTGTGTGTCCGCATTTTTTGTTCACGTTTTCGGGCGCACGGATCAACCGATTTGAATGGTTCAAAAAACATCGATTCCTATTGATAGGGAAATGTGCTGATTAGTTTTTGGCAAAGGCAGATCCAGCCGTTACGGAGATATGGAGCAAGAGCGCAGAAAATACAAATCGAATTTTTGAGAGAACAGAGGTATGCCCAAATTGTTCAGAAACCTTCAAAACGTGAAGATATGCAAAAATTTTCACTTTCGATTTTCGGCTTATTACCATAACACTACCCTACGGGAAGTTAAAAATGTAATAAAATATATGAGATATGTTAAAGTTGATTTATGATTTATTTTTAAGGTTGTCTACAATTACAAACGCAGATCGAATTGTCGTTTTAGACAAGGGACAAATTGTAGAAAGCGGAACACACCAAGAACTTCTAGATTTAAAGAAAATGTATTATAACTCGTATCGAGTGATAATGCAGGAAAAGACAAAAATAGTAAGTAGAAAGTATATAATAAAATTTATGTACAAAGAATTTTTTTAGCATTTGTTGTATTGGCAATTATTTTTTCTTGTAGCTCTGGCAGCAACACAAATGATTTGTCCAATAAGTCATCATCAGTTGACATGCTTGATGAGTCTTTTCAAGAAATTCCATTGAGAGCTGAAGAATTAGATGAAGACATTTGCGACGAACGAGCAGATGATATTAGCAAAGTAAATATGATGCGATTAATGAAACTCAATTCTCCAGAGTGGCCATATATAACAGCTGGATGCTTGGCAGCCATAATTACTGGTGGATCGCTGCCGATTTTTGCAATATTGTTTGGAGAAATATATGGGGTATTTATTAAGATTTTGTATAGTACATACTTAATTTGCATGCTTAGATTTAAAAATCGAAAACATGTTGAACCTTAACTATAAGATGCAGAATGAAGCATTAAAATCTTAAATGTGTTTACTGATGTTGAACTTCGGCTAAACACAATATTGTTTGGCAAAGAATATAAATTCATTATTGAATTTTATAATTAATATAAACTTTCTTAATAATTTTAATTATATTTATAAAATTTATTAATCTAGCAATCTTTTTACCTTTTATCTTTTTAAAATGAATGTTTTATTGTTTTTAGGTACTGGCCTTAGAAGATCCTGAACAGGTCCTCTCAGAAACCATCAAATACTCATTTTCTTTGTAGTTTTAGGAACAATTACTGGTTTAGGTACATTTAGACAGGCGTACATGTTTAACATCGCCGGAATAAGACTGACTACTAGAATAAGGTAATATTTTACATTTACATAGCAAATGCTAAAAAAATTTTCATGAATCATTTATGTTTCAGATCAATGGCATTTCAGCCATGTTAAGACAAGAAATGGGATGGTTGATGACCAAAAAAATAGTGTGGGTGCACTATGTGCAAGATTGGCAGGCGATGCATCCAGTGTCCAAGGGGTATGTAAATTATTGAAAGAATATTTTAATAGACGGAATTTAAATGTATTGTATGTATTTATGTCAAAGTTATTGTAGTTTTTAATCTTAATCTGTTGAATACAAATCATGGCTTTTAATATGGCTCATCAAATTGGTATTATTTTCTGATATAATGCAAATGTCAATATAAAGACCATTACTATATATTTATCGACATGTTTTTTTATAAATATGTGTATAAGATATATACATTCTTTGCCATTAAGAAAGTTGTGAAACCAATATGTCGAGCTTATTAGACCCATCTCAAACATCTATATTATAAATTTGTAATTAGGCAACGGGAACAAGAATTGGCTCTCTACTTCAAGCGGTTAGCACATTAGTTACTGGTTGTCTTATATCTATGTACTTCACCTGGAAAATGGCATTGGTGTCCGTGGTATCTGTGCCGTTGGTCCTCGGCGGAGTATTTTTGGAGTCACGAATATTGGTGGCAGCAGCCTACTTGAGAAAAAAGCTTTGGAAGGCGCTACTAAGATAGCTGTAGAAGCGATATCGAATGTCCGGACAGTCGCTAGTTTATGTAAGTCGGTAAAAGAATTAGAAATTTAATTAAATATTTTAGAAATAGGAAGTTATAAACCTTTTGATTTATATTTAAAAAAAAATACATCGATATAAGTTATGATGACTTGTGATACCAAAAATGCAACTCCGTTTCCAAAATGATAAATTTTCAATGAACTTTAAATTTTACAATATGATGAAGATGATGTTCAGATAAAACTGTGCCTGAGAAATTATATCTTAAACCTTTAATTACGACGACCGTAGAAGAGATTAGTAGAAGAGAAAATTTTCGTACAACAAATATTTTTTTGATTTCTATGTGAAACGCAAGAAAACGTAAACCTAGCGAATCGAATTTTCTTTTTCCTTGTTTTGGAAGCTATAGCTCCGGAGTTATATAATCTCCAGAATTGGATATTCTTTATTATCTATTTTTTATTCTTAATTTATTTTAATTAGGTCAGGAAAAGGGCGTTTTAGAAAGGTACTCAATCGAAATGGACAAAGCAGCTGAACAAAGTAAACGAAGAAATAGATTGCGTGGTTTAGTTTTTGCTTTTGGGCAGGCTGCGCCCTTTTTGGCATATTCTTTATCATTATATTATGGGCGTAGCTTAGTGGCTTACGAAGGCTTGGAATATAAAAGTGTTATCAAGTAAGTATTGCAGCGAACAAACATTGAAAGAGAATGCTATTCAACAACCCAAAATTTAGGAGTGTTTAAATATAAAAAATAATACATTTTATAATTTCCAAAGGGTATCTGAAGCTCTAATATTTGCGCTTGGATGCTGGGACAATCATTAGCTTTTGCACCTAATATAAATGCTGCAAAAACGTCAGCGAAAAGAATATTTGCTCTATTTGATCGATCCACTAGAATTCAAAGCCCGTCTGGAATTCCTGATACTCAGAAGGTAAAATAATTATACAGATTTGGAAATATAAATGAAAAAATCAAAGTTTAGGAAAGGTAACCGATGTAACCGATTTGTTTGCTATAAATCTAAAAAAACTTTTCGACTTTGATTCCTTAGGTAGTTGATGGACGAGTTGAGTTCTCAGATATCAAATTCCACTATCCCACCAGGCCTGACATTAGTATACTCAAAGGTCTCAACTTGCTCATTCAACCAGGAAAGACAGTTGCTTTGGTTGGTTATTCAGGTTGTGGAAAATCTACCTGCATACAATTATTGCAGCGTCTATATGATCCTATTCAAGGAAATGTGGTACGTAGTAATGAACACAAGTAAATTGAAAATAACAAGATTTACCTTAAGGTACCTTAAGTGATCAATTGCTTTTCTTCTCTGGTTAGAAAAATGAATAATTAGATGCTAAATACTAAGCACGTCGTATGTTTTTTAAAATCTATTTTTATCCTTTTTGATCTTTATTTCTCAGACATTGGATCGAGACAACATAAATACAAATTTATCTCTAAGAGATTTGCGTTCGCAACTAGGAATTGTTTCTCAGGAGCCTGTACTATTCGATAGAACAATAGCAGAAAATATTGCTTATGGAGATAATTCTAGAGTAGTTCCAATGGATGAAATAATAGACGCAGCAAAGAAGGCCAACGTTCATGGTTTCGTTTCCAATATGCCTTTGGTAAATAAAAATAACAATATTGATCAATATTAATGAATATAATTTCGTAAAAATATATGCTACAGTTATAGCAGCAATATTAATGAAGTATTTAAAACGCTTTGAACTTTTTACTGAACCGAGTAATAGTTAAAATTTATTATAAGTCATGGATAAGGAAAAAGTATACTTAAAAAGTTGTATAATTATTCCTAAATTTTCAGGGCTATGAAACAAACTGGGAACTAAAGGTGCACAGTTATCTGGTGGCCAAAAGCAAAGAATTGCGATAGCTCGCGCTCTGGTTAGAAATCCTAGAATTTTACTTCTTGACGAAGCTACATCTGCTCTGGATGCTAATAGTGAAAAGGTGAGATTTTTAATTGCCAGTTTTATTCATTTTTAATAATTATAGAAACAGTCGTTTTTATAGACAAACATAGATAACACGTCCGGAAGGTATGAAATAAAATGAATTATAAGAAATGAATTTATTCTTTAGTCTATAACCATACCTAAGCGATAAGGAAACTTTAAGGAATAAAATGAAAAATATTTATAAAATGTATGCAGTCTGTTCAATGCTAAGCTTTTATTTGTAAAATACTCATAGATAAATCGAATTTCGATTTAAATGATTTGTGTATATATGATTTTTTTTTTTATTTTTATGCCAGATCATTCAAGCAGCACTAGACGAAGCACGATGTGGTAGAACTTGCATTGTAATAGCTCACAGACTTGATACCATTCGTACTGCTGATGTTATTTGCGTCCTGGACAAAGGAAAAGTTGTGGAAACCGGTACACATGAAGAACTTTTGGCGTTAGGAGGAGTATATACACAATTGCATGGTCAACAATCTAGTTTATCATGATCATGATCGATCAATGTATATAAAAAATTTTGGTTGAAACCAAACTTGTTCAAATTCAAAAGCGCGTTTAGCGACACCAAAGAAAAATTACTTGTATTTCGGAAGAATATTTTTTAATAACGAGTGAAAACTTTGATAAATTATTGTAAATATTTAAAATAATTCAAAAGAGCTTAAAGAATAACTCCAACTATAAACATTTGTGACTGCAAGATCTGGAAATTTAAAATTCTATTATAGTATTTATATCGCCTCAAAGAAAGGTTGATTATTAGATGATAAAATCATTATATTATTTCATCTTATATAATAGCAACATATTTAAGTAATTTTATCATTAATATACATATAAACATAAGACATTTGTATATGTATGTATATATTTATATATGCAACAAACCTCAAAACTTTTAACCAGACGGTGCAGAGAAACTTTCGGTAACTTGTTACGATAATTCGTTACACCAATGATTATATTAGTGTTAATAAAGGTGATACATAGGTTTTTGTTTGTTATGCTGTAGCAGCATTATATGTTTCATATATTTATCATACATAATTGCAAATATATTTTAAAATAGCCAGGCAAAAATGTTAGTTCAAACATAGATTAACTCCATGTGAATATTTTACTGTATGGATCATTTGAAGTTGTGTAAAATTCATGTTTAGTATTTATTTATTGTATATAATATTATTAGTGTATAATTTGTTTAATAAATTAGTTAAACTGTGAGCTTTAATAATATTTAAAAGAATGTAATTGGACAAAATATAAAGTAAATGAGTATTATAACAATAAAGTTTACTTTCAGTATATTATCTGCTGCAGTATGCTGTTACTTTGAAAACTACAAATAAATAATTATAATAATGTACAAATATGCCATTGTGCAAATTATGCATATGTACAGCAGACACTCAATATCCATAGAAAAATAAGCACGTATCAAATAATAATTAATTCCTACCTACAGACTGCATACATATATCACAAAAACTTTACATGCACAATAATAGATTATTAGTTGTAATTGAAAAAAGACTTAAAGACTTAAAAGAAAGTTGTAACATCTAGATTTATAACACCAAACAGATATAAATATGAAGAGAAACAAAACTTCCTTCGGAGTTAGCCGAAATGTTGGTATCCGCATATGATAAAAATATTAGAAATTTATCTAAAGACTGACTCATGGATATAAATATATTATATTCTAATATTGTCTAAGATTATATAAACAAAAATATTGTTTAAAATTGTTTAGGGGGCTGACTGCAACAACGATGAAAACAATCCAAACGAATCGCTGTTGGTGATGCTGTAAATATTTGACAGCTAAAGCAATAACTTCACACTACTTCTTATCAGTGTTGTTGAGAAACGTCAATTATTTATTTTAGTTTGCTTTCCTCTAACCTCAATCTCGCATGTAATTCTGAGTAAATAAAATATTTAAAATGCTGAACAGTAGTATCTCAAGTACATTAAAGAATAAGTTGGTTACTGACGATTTGGAAGATATACATGATGAGGAAAGGGTGAGACAACCTTGCCTATATATTTTTTGCAATTTCATATTCAATCCTTTTTTTTTCATTTTAGCAAAAGATTCGAGCGGAATTATCCAACATGAGTTTCTTAGAATTACAGAAGCTCAAGGAAGAAATGGGCTCTAAATTATACAACAAAGCAGTTTTTGGTACAACAAAGAAAATTAAAAAAACTAAGACAGACTTCAAAAGAGAAAATAAAAATCGACCACGTGAAATGTCAGCAAAGAAACAAGTTCCTTTGTTACGAGATTTGCCAAATGTTAAAAAAATTGAACACAGAGATCCTAGATTTGATGAACGAGCCGGAGAATTCAATGAGAAAGCATTCAAAAACAGTTACAGCTTTATTGAGGAAATTCGACAGAAAGAATTAGATCAGCTAAAAAAGGATTATAAGAATACTCATGACCCTGATGAAGCTGAAAAGATGAAATTTTTGATTACGAGAATGGAAAATCAAATCCGTGAAAAAAAGAAAATTGAAGAGAAGAAAGAAAAGGAATTAATGGAGAAAATGGAACGATTGGAACAAATCAAAGAAGGAAAAACTCCTGTTATAGGAAAAAATGTAAGTCTAATGTTTTATTGTCTTATTCCATTTATTTTTAGAAAATAATTTTAATGATGTATTTGTATTTTTACTATTAGTATTAATTAAAATGAATATTATAATTAAGTTCATATAAGTCAATTTAGATTTCCAGTCTATAGATCTAGATCAATCTAGATTATTTAGTACAAAGTAAGAAACTTTTTGGCACATTATTAAATAATCATTTTTCTATATTATAGCTGAAAAGAGGATATTGGACCTTGTTGATAAATATGAAAAGCTGAAGCAGTCAGGTGGACTGACTAAGAACATCATGAAACGAGAAAAGAAGAAAGCACAGAAGGACCGTAAAGCAGGAAAACATTAATTGAATTGGTTTTATAAATATTTATCTAAACAATGTTAAATTTGTTTACATTTTTGTACATATAATATAACTACTTATTTCTTATTCTGTTTATGATTAGCCAGTTCTCAGCATTTTTGCTTCACGTTTTTCTTGCAGTTCTTTCTTTTGGTTCTACAATAACTTTTCTTTCATTCATAAATTGTTCATATTCTTCAACTTTTAAATCTCGAACTACTTCTATTCCACAGGATCTGGCTATTCCAACTAACATCATGGTGCATATTTCTTGAAGTGATTTTAGAGCTAAAGGCGGATCCGTACTTTTAATAACTGCTATTTCATAAATATGTTTCAGAGTAACTTTTCCAGCGACTTCCTTTCCTAAAATTGATAACACAATTATTTTACATAATTTACATTAGCTGTTATCTCAAGAATAATTTAAATGGTCTAATGCCCTAAAAACAAACAACACAACGAATACTATGACCAGTTTTGATTATAACTTAAATTTAAAATATTTAATTTTTGTAATTTTCAATTGTATTAACAACTACCTGGATACATTGCGGCTCTTTGAAGACCAGCAGCTTGTTTCAGAAAAAATACAGCTGGTGGTTTATGAATAACTAAATCGTAGCTTCTATCAGATTTAACAGCAACACGACAAGGTAAAGGATTCCTTCTTTCATATCTTTTGTTCTTTCATTAAAATCTTTACAAAACGTAGCTATGTTGATACCGCGCTAAAACAATGGGTATTAAAGAGAATTAATTCAAAAAACATACTGCAACAAAAATAATGTTTCTTTTAGTTAAAAATAACGAAAATTAAGTACAAGATTATGCTAATGATGTATTGATCAAACTTCTATTGATGTAGTATATTTTTTTTTCGTCTTTATCTATGATTTTTTTACCAATCTATCAGTGATTATTAAAATAGCTTCAAGTAATCATTGCTGCGTTAAATAATTATCTCCTCAATGTACTTTATTATTTATAGATTGCACATGTGAGTAGTAAATACACCAGTAGAGAAAGAGAATATAATATCTTACTAATAACTAAATAGATTGATTCACCTGTCCAAGCATGGGGCCTAAAGGAGCCCTGCGGCGGCCATCCCTGCTGGAATGTCTGTACGTAATTTTGAGGTATGTTGAACCTTTTCAATAGTCTTTTTAGTGTAT